TATCCACAAGGGCTTAACCTCCAGGATATATAAAGAACTGATATAACAAAAACCAACTTGATCAAAAAATGGGCAGAGAATATGAACAGACATTTCTCCAAAGAAGATATACAGATGGCCAACAGGCACATGAAAAGATGCTCAACATCACTAATCATCAGGGAAATGCAAATCAAAACTACAATGAGAGATCACCTCACACCTGTTAGAATGGCTATAATTAACAAGACAAAATATAACAAATGTTTGAGAGGGTGTGGAGAAAAGGGAACCCTCATACACTGCTGGTAGGAATGCAAACTGGTGCAGCCACTATGGAAAACAGTGTGGAGATTCCTCAAAAAATAAAAATAGAAATACCATACGACCCAGCTACTCCACCACTGGGTATTTATCCAAAGAACTTGGAATCAACAATTCAAAGAGACTCATGCACCCCTATGTTCGCTGCAGCATTATTCACAATAGCCAAGATATGGAAGCAACCCAAGTGCCCATCGAATGATGACTGGATAAAGAAGATGTGGTATATACAGATATACATACAATGGAATGCTACTCAGCCATAAGAAAAGACAAAATTGTCCCCATTTGCAACAACATGGATGGACCTTGAGGGTATGATGTTAAGCGAAATAAGCCAGACAGAGAAAGACAAACACTGCATGATTTCACTCATATGTGGAAGATAAATGAACACACGGATAAAGACGGTTACCAGAGGGGAAGGGGGTTCAGAGAGGGCAAAAGGGGTAAACAGGCACATTTACATGTTGATGGATAAAAATTAGCACAATGAGCACGGCGAGCACAATACAATCTACACAGAAACTGATGAATAATAATGTACACCTGAAATTTCACAATGTTATAAACCATTAATGACCTCAATTTTTTAAAAAAAGGTTTCCAGAAATCGTCTCGTGGTGATCTGGGGAAAAACATTCCAGGCAGAGGGAAGGGCCAGTGCAAAGGCCCTAAGGCAGAATGAGCTGGTGTTGGGGGCCAGTGTGGCAGGAGTTGGTGACCACAGGGGAGGAGAGGAGAGGAGCTCAGAGAGGGGGTGTAGAGAGGGAGGCCTGAGGGCCACCTTAGACCTGGGAAGGATGTGGCTTTGACTCTGAGGGTGGCCCTCGGAGGCGGCTGCACAAAGGAGGGCCAGGATCTGATGATTATCTGATGCTGGGTGGAGAGTGGACTGAGGGGGGCAATGGCAGAAGCAGGGAGGCCACTGCGGGAAGTCCACAGGAGAGATGTGGGTGGCGCAGAGAGGGCAGCAGCACGGAGGTGGTGGGTGCTGTCACACAGCCAGCAGGTGACCCTGCACTTTTCCTGCACTATTTCATGAATCCTTGCACCTCGGATAGGTGCTGGCCGCTCTGATCACCATTCTACATGGCAGCAAACTGAGGCTCTTGCCCAAACCACACTGCTAAAAAAGGGGCAGTGCCCAGCGTTAGCCTCCAGAAGCCTCCATCCTCCACGAGAGAGAATGGGCACTGCGCCCTCCGTTACAGGAGCACCAAAGATCCTGCTCCTGCTCCCTGTGGCTTGTCCTCCCTTCTCTCCAGCACCCCAGGCCCACCCCCTCCAGCAATCCTCGAGAGCCCTGCCACATCCTGCAGCCCTGTCGGTGTTCCCCAGCCGCCCGCCCGCCCACCGCCTCAGGCTCAGATACACACAGGACGAAGTCCGACACCACCTGCGTTCCCAGTCAGACAGCCATGCCCCTGCCGCCCGTCTCCCCCACCTCCACACCTTCACCCGTGCCTCCTCCAGGCCTTTCCTCTGTTGCCCTTCACCCCCTGGAATGCCTGCGTCCGCACCCACCCACCCCTTGGAGCCTCCAATCCAGTCGAGAGATCCAATTTGCGCGAAGGGCTCAGGGTGACTGTGTCAGGCCGTGCTTGCCTTTCTGTTTGCTGAAGGAGGCTGATGCTCCTTCTTGGAGGAGGAGAAAAGGTTCCTTTGTGCTGGGTCTGGCGAAATTGTGTCTGTTTAGGACAGGCTGCAGTTTTCCTTTTGAACGCTGTAGATTTTTAGTGTGGGGAAAAGGGCTTATTCGATTTCCCTGTGGCTGCCCAGAGTGGGGAGAGCTTTTTCTGAGCACAGACAGAGTGACGGAACAGGCGTTCAAGAGGCAGGGACATTCAGCAGCTGCTTCTCACGGCGAGCTTCGGCTTTCCTGGCTGGTGTCTCCACCGGGAGGAACACAAAACGCAGAGAGAGCCAGCCTTCCCTGTAGTTTCTCGGGCCGGGGGAAGTTGGTCCTGGACGGGCTCGGAGGTGGGCAGACGGGAGGGCAGGGTTTTATTGGGGGCTTGTTGGGGTGTTTTTTTCCTCTTCAACTAGAAAATAAATTTTAAAATGGTCACAGTATCCAGAAGAAAGGTAGTCACAGCAACAAAAGTTTGCGTCCAGGTGCCTCCTGACACCCTTTCAGAGCCCCGGCGGTGAAGGGGCAGGATTTGGACACTGGGATCAGCCCAGGAACCGTCCAAGCTGGCTCAGACCTCCCCAGCTTCTCACCAGTACGGACAGGCTGGCCGCTATCTTCCCAGCTCCCAGGGAGGAAACTGTGGTTCTCAGGGAGGGGCCACCTCCAGCCAACAGTGGTCAAGAGAAAGGAGAAAACTGCGGCTTTGTTTTATTGACCCAACTAACCGTCCAGGTTTTTACTAACAGAGGACTGGGGGTGAGGGGCTTGTGCTGAGCCCCCCAAAGCGCCCCCTCCTGCGACGCCCAGCTGCACAGCTCTCTCCCCTTATCACTTCAACAGATTCCTTTCTGCTCCAGAAGACAATTCAGGCCCCTCACCAGCTGTGGAGCCCAGACGGAAACCTCTCTGAGCCTCAAATTCTGAGCCTCGCCTGAGAATTAGGCGCCCCAGAAGTCGCTGCTTCGAGGGTGTTGGCAAGGACTCAATGACCCTGCAGGCGAGTGGTTTTAACAGCGCCTGGCGCACATTAAGGGCTCAGTAAATGTAAGCTAACACTGTTTTTAAATGTTTTCCAATTAATAATTTTTAAAAGTGCTTAGGCTTAAACATCCTGTGTCAACCCCTTAGACGAGCTATTGCAAGAATCGGGGCCGTGACCTTCAGGGAGAGGCCAGAGGGGCCACAAACAATTAAGAGGCTGAGCTGGTCAGCAGGGCCGGGCCATGAAGGCAGGGACAGGGTCACCCACCAGAGCGCAGCCTCGAATTTTCGAGTGTGTGCTCAAAGGGAGACACTGGGAGGCACCAGGAGGCTGCGGCTCTGCACAAAAAGGAAACGTGGTGAGAGGCGAGGCTGACGTGGGGCCCTCTACCAGAAGGCACGGCGTGACGAGGCCTCCGGGGGAGAGGCTAGGCTTGGGTTGAGTGGAAAGCAGGGAATTTTAGCCCAAGATGCCTTTTGAGGTTAATTTTTTATTACATCCCAAAGTAAAAATTCGACTCCTGAGTGCACACCAGAAGTGAGTCTAATGGGGTGAAACTGGTCCGGGGCGGGCCCCTGTTCAGACACCGAGTGTCAGAGCAAACAGCCAGCATCGTGCAAGTGGTCACAGAAAAGTTCAGTCGGGCACCTCCAGAGGCAAGACAGAGCAGGCAGCACCCCAAGAAACCTCTGGTTTGTCGTCCCAAAGCCCATCCAACATTTATCCTGCAAATATGTGCCAAACACCTACTATGCTCCAGACACTGCCCAGAGGCTAGGATGGCAATGAGCAAGAGGGCTCCAGCCCTGCCCTCACAGTGACATCCTGTGGGGACAGAAGACAACAAGCTAGTGACCAAAGGTAGGTCCCAGAAAATCTCAGCTTGCACCTAGTGTGATGAGGGAGATAAAGGCAATCATGAGATAGGAAGCCATGGAGACCCTGCCTCCCAAGGGGGATGGCTCTCTCCAGGGGGCCCGGCCGCAGAAGGCAGGTCAGGAAGCCCCACCTGGAGCCGAGGAGGAGCCAGCCAGGGAAGACGTGGGGAGGGGAATTCCAGGCAGGGGGAGCAGCCTCCTTGGGTTTATTTTACACCTTGCTCCCTCTGTCCTTCAAACCGGTTAGGCCAATGGCTCATTCAGGGCAAACCAGGGGTCTGCCCACTGCCCCGACACTGAGTACACAGGTTGACATCAAAGAGGGAGGAGGTTTAACCTTGGGGAAAGAGGTCAGTTCACTCAGGAGGGTCCCCACACCTGGACTTGGAGCAACAAGGACTCGGAGGGACCGGGCGGCGTGGACCAGCACCCCGGGCATGTGGCACACGCGCTGTGAGGCCGCTGTCCTCGGCTCCGCTGTAGCCTCGCTGCGCCCGCGGGCGCTCGCCCAGCCCCGGCTGCCCCTGGCGGGCACACGGAGGACAGGCAGGGGGGGCAGTTTGATCGGCCTTAGAAAAGTCACCCCCAATTCGGATGGGAGCCTCGCCGCGCGGTCCCGCGTTCCCGCCTGCCTCCTTTCCCTCCCGCAGCGTCCTCTCCGGGGCGGGGGCCAGGAGACGAGGGGCTCCCCGCCGGATGCCCCCACTCCCACTTCCGCGCTGCCCCAGCCCCGGCCGGGAGCGGTCGAGCGCGGGTGAGGGATGGGGGAGAAGGCCCCCGCGGCTGCCGGTCCTGGGGGTCCGCGGGGCGAGGGGCGGCCCGCAGCACCAGCCCCCGCCCCCGCCCCCGACCGGGACGGGGTGGGCGGGAGGCACCCGGCGCCGCGCGGAGGACAGAGGGGGTGGGGGCGAGCACGGAGACGGGTCCCGGCGCGGAGAGGGACGCGCGCCCTCCGCCCGGCAGCTGGGGTGGGCGCCCCGGAGACGCAGCCCCCAGGGCGCGGCGAGGTCCCCGAAGGCGCCTGGCGCTCGGGGGGCGTCCCGCGCACCCAGCGCTGCCCCCGGACCCGCCCGGCGCGCCCTCCCCGCCCGCGAACGCCGGCTGGCCCGCGGGGGGCGCGCGGGTCTGGGGCCCGGGCCGCCGCGGCCGCGCAGCCCCGGTGAGCCGCGAACCGAGCCCGCCGGCGCCGCCGCGCACTCACCGAGCCCGCCGAGCTCCTCCTCGCACGAGTACCAGATGCCGGTGTGGAAATTCCTGAGGAGGAAGCGGTCGTCGCCCGTCTCCCAGCTGTAGAGTGCGCCGCCAGGGGGGCCGTTCCCCGCGGCGGCGGTGGCGGCGGCGGCGGCGGCTGTGCCGTTGGCCGTGGCGTTGGCGCCCGAGTTGGGGCAGTTGGCGCGCCCGCCCTGGCCGCAGCCGGGCTTGGGCACCCGCTGCGTGCCCTGGCACCAGTGCGTGGTGAGGAAGGCGGTGGTGGCGAAGAGCAGCGCCAGCAGGTTCAGGGCCACGGCCAGGAGCGCTCGGCCGCGGCGGCTCGTCTTCATGCCGCCCGCGCCGCCGGGACCGCGCCGCCGGGGAGCTCCGCGCGCGAAGTTGGCGGCCGGCGCCCCGCGTCAGCGGCCGCTGCCCGCCGCGCCCCGGGCCTCGGGCGCCTGCGATCGGCGGCGG